AGCAAACAAACGATTTGCCCCACAAAAAAAAAATATCATACAGGCTTTGAATTTAAATCAATTTACGAAATAATTACTCTATTTAACTTTAATTTAGGAGATTTTTAAATGTCCTGTTTTTGTATAGTCTGCTAATTTTCTTAGCGCTAAAAATGCAAGAACCTTAATGCTAAAGTCCTAGCATATTGCCTTAGATTGTCTGTTCTCGTGCTTGTGTATTATAATGCTGTCTGTATCATATTTGTATTGTGATAATGTACATTATTAAATTGGTGATCAACACATCTCAGTTGGAGGTGATGAGACTCACAGCAGTCTCTCTCTCTCTTTCTCTCTCTCCTCTTCTCTTTCTCCAGAGAGAGGGGAGAGGGTGAGAGAGCGAGGCGAGAGAGAGTCGGCAAGAGGAGAGAGAGAGAGAGGGAGAGAGAGAGAGAGCGTCGACTGAGAGAGATAGAGATCGGGAGAGAGAGTCTCTGCGGCGACTGGGCGTCTCTGCATCTTCTATATCTCTTTGTGAGCTCAGGTTGCTCTCTCTCCTTTTCTCTCCTCAAAGAATCTCTTCTCTTTCTCCTCTCTCTCCTGCGATTCCTCTCTCTCGATCATTCTCTCTCTATCGTCATCTATCTCTCTTGTCTCTCTATCCTCTATCTCTCTCTGCATAGTCTGGTGATCTTGGGTAAAGGCTGTATTTGCATAATTCAATTTCCCCTCCTCACAGAACTGTTTGTCAGTCGGACTGTGTGTATGGAAAAAGACGATGCATTTGGGATATTGAAGCAATATGTCATATATTCTATGGACTTTCTGGAGAAAGGAAGCTTAGTGTTGAGCACTGTTCCGAGATGTATTTTTCCAGCAGTGTTGTTCACTCGAAACATCACACCGTTCGTTCGCTCACTCACTCATCACGCATCAACGTTTGTAATCTTTAGTGTGAGCATTTTATGCAAAAGTTAGATATACCGACAGAAGTTTAAACACAGTTATATGCAAATTGTCAATTAATAAGGCTTTGCTGATGCTATTTGCAATTTGATGTTGAATAATAATACCATTGTAAATAAAGAATTCTGTTATTGCAACATTTAATGTAGTCCCTCTATATTTTATATTTTAAATATTTGTATAGATGCTGCACTGTTTGAGCGGAGATCTTGCAAGTAATCATTTAATTGGCCTTTTATCAATTACATTTATTCACCTCCTCCGTCCTCACCTTTTTTTGAAAAAGGTAAAAGATAATCAAGGAGAGTGAACATGATGGAAATGCGATTGCTTGAAATGAGACGGTCCTCCTCCACTCTCACTTCATTAGGCAAATGACGTTTCACAGGGGTGGACCCCTAAATAAATGTGTAAAGTGATCAAAAACAAATTGAAGTTATTTGTGCAGGACATTTTATAGTTACAAAAATAATTAGCATATTGTTTTTAAAGGTGTGCATGTTTTCATCCTCTGACAAAACAAAAGCTAACTCAAAGGGGGTGTGGCAGATTTTAAAACTCTTCCACGGTCGGATACGCATAAGTATTCTCTCGATGAAAGGTGTCTATCGAGGAGCGGAGGACAAAACATCCCTACCGCTCTGAAGGAAACAGGAAGTTTCGGTGCAATGTTATAAATGCCGACAGGTAATTTGTTCGTTTGACATGGTGGGATCTTTTTATGTCCGTAAAATTAATTATGCAAGAAATGGCAGTGGAAACGCCTTTATGCGCAAATATTGATATAATAACCATCATATAGAAGTAAACTTGGAGTCACGCGATGCTATGGTGTGTGGTCCTCCCACTAAAACCCGGGAAACCTTGCAGTTTTTTAGACTACAGATGAAATAAGTTATGATGAACTTCACAGGGTGGTGAAAGTGCACGGGGATCTTGATGCTCATTTCCAATAATATCGAGGGTCTTATTCTGGTGACATGGTGATCGATGCTTGACTGCCATTTGACAAATAAAAATATTCCCGCTCTTATCCATAATAATCCTACCCGCACTGTATCTGCGAGCTGTTGGCTATAGAGCGCATGCGCCAAAACCAGATTAGGCACATTTGCTAATTAACAGTAACAGTTTTTGTGACAAACTGTTGGTAGAGTTGAAAATGAGATGGAAACATATTGAACTTTTGATTTTTATTCGGTACATAAAAACAAGCTGAAAAAGTACATTTTGTGTGCACTACTTAATCATGCACTGATTTTTATCCGCAAAAAATATATATTTGTTGGAAACAACACTGGTGGGGGAAATGTGCATATTTTATTTATGCAGATTCTAGAGTTTTAGCATGAAAATCTGTCGGCAATTGGATGGAAACCTACCTAGTGACATGATGATTGGTGCTTAGCTGCCAATTAATGAATAATAATGATCATGCTCTTATCCATCTCATCATATGACCTAACCAATCAACTATCAGGGAACTGTCGTCTAGAGAGCATGCGTGAAAACCAGATTGGTCAAGTTTGCCATTTATCGCAACAGTTTGTGTGACAAAATCATTGATAGAGTGGAAAATGCAATGGAAAAACATTAAACTTATGTTTTTTTTATTTGGTACATGAGAACTTTAGTGCAAAAGTGTTTTTTATGTGCACGACATCATCACGCGCAGCCTTTTATCCACAACAAGTTCGTTCTGATGGAATCAAACCTCTGGTGGGAAATATTGAATATTCTCAAATCCGCATCAAGAAAATGTGCTTATTTTCACACCAGTGGTGTGTTTCCACCAAACGGACTTGTTGCGGATAGAAAGCCGTGTGGGTGATTAAGTAGTGAACACAAAATTGACTTTTTCGAATAAAAATCTAAAGTTCTGCATGAAATCTTTGGATGGAAATGTGGTTACTGATGAGGATTTTTATGGTCCTCTGAATGATTCGTTAAATTATTAGCTAGGTCTATTGGTTCTAACAGAAATCGATTCGTTCCTTTATGCATGGTTTCACAAACTCGGTGCACGTTTTGTTTTTTGCCCTAGCACTACACAGCTGGTTCACAAAAAAAATGTACTAATCATCAAGCTTTGATCATTTGAATCAGCTGTGTAGTGTTAGGGCAAAAACCAAAACGTGCACCCCTCAGGGGTCCCAAGGACCGAGTTTGGGAAACGCTGGTTTATAGGCTTCTGCAAACACTTAAGGCCTATGGATTTTCTTCCCAGTGGTATAATAACAACACTTCATCTTTATAGTATTTTGATTTACGGAATTAGGTTCATTTATACATTTATAGAAGTAAGCAACATAATCGGATATTAGGCTACATAGGATTTCTGTGTCCTGTTATATTTTTTTTAGAAAACGAATGTTTTATAGGCTATGTCCTCATCTTCATTTATCAACAAAAAAAAAAATTAATGAGGTGACATAAATCGAGTTGATGTTCGATTTTAAATTAAAGTTGTTGCTCACAATAGGCCTACCAAAATATTTGTTTTTGGGACACGTTTAAAAAAAAAAAATGTTTATAACAATGTAAAAACGTGTGTGCGCGCGCGCGCGTGCCTGCATGCGTGTGTCGGTGAAAAGGTGAAATCCTCCTGGGGTTTGAGACGCACGCCGGGTGACCCGAGCTGATCTCTGACCAATAGCAGGAGAGAGTAGAGCAGCATCCCGAGACCTTTACGAGTCCGTACACTTAGCCGTTCTGTATACAGCCTTCAGTTCAGTAGGACACAGAACAACAAACACAAAGCCGGAAAGTATCCTACTACTCCGGTCTCTCTCTCTCTCTCTACTTTACCTTCACGGGATTCTATCATCAATATCCCAAGCACATATCAACAAGTGTGGTAGCCAAATAAGCGGTTGTCTTTTGAAACCCAAAACAATCTTTGGAACGTGGGATGGATTCGACTACATCAATTTCAGACGTATAAATATTCTCCTTTGAGGTAAGTCAGACATTAAGATTCATATTTCGCAAATATTTAACTGGTTTGAAATGTTATGACATTATTAGCCTACTATGTGTAAAATCCCTTTCAGGCAAGACTTTTCCTTATATTGCCTATGTTTCTTGTAATCCTCATCACTTTAGTTTCTTATTTCTATAGCCAATATTATTCAGATACATTATGCGAAGTTCCTTATTAACCCGTTGTTGATAGCCATTGAACCGGTCTCGCCCTATAACGCCCTAATGCTTTTTAAAGGAGTGGTGACTTGCAATAGCTTCATTAATGTTGACCTCTGCCGCTGACCCGGTGTTCTTTAATTTGAGTGTCATGACCCTGATTTGTCTCAGTTACCGCTGGCTACCACCCACCCACTACCCGGCCCTGTGACGGGGAGCCACGGCACCTACAACTCATCCTGCTCGTTTACAGGGATGCACAGTCAAGTGCCAATTTAAAGTAGTTTACTTTGCAGGCACAAGCACCAATGTAAAGATATTGATGAACATCAGTTGTGTGTTTTTGCGAAATGGAAAAAATGCCCAAACAACTGGTTTTTGATTGTAGGCTAAGTGCTGTGAATTCAGTAGGATGCTAAAGAACCGTGTAAGTTTGGTAAAAATCCATGGAATATGTTCATACATTTGTAAAATGACGAAAAATATGTGTGGCTTTTAATATAATTAGCATTGCGATTTTGGAAATATTGATATCTGCAGGAGTTCGATCTTGTTAAATTGATGTAGTTAAATAATATTTGTATTATTAGCTAATAGGTGAAAACAAAAAATGACCTTTTCATATTGTGCGATAATTGAAATGCAACATTTTCTTTCGTTAATTGACATGCCTATTGTGGATTTACACAGAAATATTTTGATTGAGAAAATGTGCATAATTACAATGTTATTCAACTAAATGTATTTTGAGCAGAGATCTAACAATCATACTTAATTTGTTCGTTACCAAATCTCTTTACTGTATGCTAACCGATTTGATTTTTTTAAAAATGATTCTTCAAAAAATCTATCAAATAAACTAGAGAGGTACATTTTCATTTCAGAAGCGAAACTATTTAAGATCATTTCTGGAGATGGAGCTAAAATCTCTCCACCTCTTTCTCTCTCCAGGCAGAATAGCTACACCATTCCGATTCAAATCATCCCAGATCGGCTCTGCCTCCTCGCCTGCTGTGATGTCTGTGTCTCTGTCCAGCATCCCCGCCGTGAAGGACAAGCCGTTCCACTCCAACCCCCTCAAAGGCAGCCCTGTCCCGGGCTCGGGTTACTACGCTGCCCCGCTGCCCGGAGCCCACCATTACATGGACATCTTCAGGTGCTCTCAGCAGCCCCTCCACCCAATCAAGTCCCTGGGACGGCTAGTCACAGACACCCAGGCAGTCATGCCGTTCAACTTCACCGACCGGAACCCCTCATTCTTCGGCCACGACGGCCACGCCGTTAACGTGCTCCATGAGCAGATCTTCAACACGTCGAACATCCCGTATTTTAATCGGATGATGCCGGGAGTGGGACAAACGATTTACTCCAAGCACGAGGAGCTGGCGACGGTGGTGATCGAGCACGCTACTGGGCCGTTATCAGACTTCAGCAGTCCTGCCTCAAGCGAGAGGTCTTCTGCTCACTCGGTCTCGCCGTCCAAAGCAAGTTTGTTCCACCTCAGGGGAACCGAATTATCATCGAAGAAAACGCGCACTTATAGTTTCAGCGAGGATGATCTGTTCACTGTGCTGTACGGATATACCCGGAGACAGGAGCAGAATACCGGTCACGCCATCTCAGGAGTAGCCCTGCCCGGGAACTCAGGTAGACAGATAAAGCTTCTCGCATATCTCTGTCACACAATTACCTTTGAAATGTTATCGAAAGTGGGTCATTTTCTTAAAAGCAAACGTGTGTTATTGCTTCAGCTGTCCTAACAGGTTTATGGTAGTGGAAAAAGTTAAAATTGTTAGATGCAACATAACATTATTGCTTGCTATTGCCAATTGGGGCTGGAGATTCAATCCGTTCATATAGGCACTAATTCTGTATTTCTAGCTGGGATTTGATGATTATTGGTTTACCTTAGTCCATGTGTATGGCTATTTCAAGAATAATCAAACTGTCAATTCCAGGAAGATTAATCTATGTCTGGGAAACCAGCCCATATTGTCGGTCGTTTTGTGTTTGATTTGTAGGCTCTAATGTTCATAATTGACCACCAGCATCGCTAACTTTAACATTCTCTTCAACAGTTTGTAACAGCGAGCTACTCACCTTGAATACTCCGGCGCTTGAACTACCAGAAGGTAGGCCTCTCTCAATTCAATGCAATTCAATTCAAATGGCTATATTGGCATGGGAAACATCTCTCTCTCTCTCTCTCTCTCTCTCTCTCTCTCTCTCTCTCTCTCTCTCTCTCTCTCTCTCTCTCTCTCTCTCTCTCCCCTTCCTTCCTTCCTTTCTCTCTCTCTGTTAGAATTTTCAGTTCATACTTGTGAAGTTGCGTAAAGGGTGTTAACTTTAATGTGTTTTCAAATGTCACTTCCAGGGTTAACTATCCACCAGACGAGTTACCGCAGTTTGTCCCACTACGGAGTTTTCGCAGTGAAGAGCGCCATCACCAAGGGAACACGGTTCGGCCCATTTCAGGGGAAACTGGTCAATACGAGCGAGATCAAAACATACGATGACAACACTCTGATGTGGGAGGTCAGTTTAATTGCTTAATTAAGTGCACAATATTGTGTTTAGTTTATTTATTGTGAGCTAAAAGTTTGAACCTTTTGTGTTTTTATTCGGTGAGTAAACCAGTTGTGCGTAAATGCCAATTTATGCGTAAATGTAGGCCTAAAAATATATGCTTGATTACCAATTAATTAAAAGGCCATACAGTCAAACAATTTGTAGCCACATACATTTTCGTGCAATATAATAGGTTTAACAACAACATTTTCTCTGTGTCCATTAATCCAGGTGTTCGAGAACGGCCGATTGAGTCACTTCGTGGATGGCCGGGGCTCTTCCGGTAACTGGATGTCCCTGGTGAAGTGCGCGCGCTTCCCGGAGGAGCAGAACCTGATCGCGGTACAGAGTAAGGCACAGATCTTCTACGAGGCCTGTAAGGAGATCCAGCCGGGCCAGGAGCTGCTGGTCTGGTACGGGGACTGCTATGTTCAGTTCCTGGGGATTCCTCTCACTCTGAAAGACTCGCTGGAGGAGGGGAACGTCATGCTTCCACATGAAGGTAAGGACATTTTCATATAGAATCAGAGAATCAGAATCATCTTTATTCGAATAGAATAGAAAAACTTTTCTCTTCCCCAGTGGGAACTTCATTTGTGGAAAATATTTTCATATAGACGTCACAATACTCTACTCTTATATATTCTATTATTCTATAAATCTATCGCACGTGTTTATTTGTAGCTGCAGCCTTGCCACTAAAATCCACCAAGGTTTTCCCTAATAACATTTGCTTTTATTTCAGATTCTGGAGAGGGTTTTAAGTGTGATCGGTGTGGGAAAGTGTTCGCCTATCAATACTACAGAGACAAACACCTGAAGTACACGCGCTGCGTGGACCAGGGGGACCGGAAGTTCCCGTGCCACCTCTGCGACAGGTCGTTCGAGAAGAGAGACCGACTGAGGATTCATATCCTACACGTTCACGAGAAACACCGACCACATAAGGTAAAATGCCAAATAATTACTAAATAATACATATTCCCGAGTGGTGCTGAAAAAACAGCTCCCTTTGCATTAGGCTATAGGCCTACTTTCTCCCTAAATCTATAGTTTGTTTTATGCCTACTCTTTTTATTTTACCCCCTTATTCAGTGTTAAAAAACTGCACATTTCCCGAAGGACCTACTTAATGTCGGCTGATTTCTCTAATCTCCCCTCTCTCCTCTGTGCTAGTGACAAATATAGGCCTGCTTTCCTCCTAAATCTGTAACTGAAGGTTCACTCAGTGTAAACTATTACTAAATTTCCCCATAATCAATGTGTCACCTTCTCTCTTGTCAGTGCTCGGTGTGCGGAAAGAGTTTCTCTCAGTCCTCCAGTCTCAACAAACACATGCGTGTGCATTCAGGAGAGCGCCCCTACAAGTGTGTCTACTGTAACAAGGTGAGCACAGAATGACAGGTGTGTGTGTGTGTGTGTGTGTGTGTGTGTGTCATCGAGTCCTTGGGCGTGTAGGTGGGCAGACCCCGATGGAGCTCGAGCTCACCATTTAGAAGCTTCCTCATTTCATGGTGCATTTGGCGCGAGCGCCCTCGTTATTGTCTCCCGGTGCAGGCACGCTCCGCCGAGACACTTCCGTGGTGATTAGCGCCAGATGTACCCACCCTATTGTTCCCCCACGCCCCGAGATTACACTCTGAATGTATGGCTCTATGAGGAACAGACGTTTTCTTTGTTGTTTGCAGGATATTACTTCTTCCTCAGTTTTTATGTCGCCTACTTAAATAATGTTTTTGTTTAACCCAAACCCCCTGTTTAACAATGATATGTTAGCCTATATGCTAGTTATATGCTCTTTTAAAATACTATCCAAATGAAAAGGCATTTGAAATCGAATTGAATCCAGATTTTCGATAACAGAATGAATGTGCCAAGCCTGCATTGGTGCCAGCCTATTGCTGTATTGGCCAATGTGTAGTCTTGCCAAACAACCAATGGCTATCAAAGTATTCCGTTCTGATAGAACTGTAGACCTATTGAGTCCACTCATGTCCTCAAACTTCTATGTCCTCTACCCTGTTCTAGGCCTTCACCGCTTCCAGCATCCTGCGCACGCACATCCGCCAGCACTCGGGAGAGCGGCCCTTCAAGTGTAAGCACTGCGGGAGAGCCTTTGCCTCGCATGCCGCGCACGACAGCCACGTCCGACGTACCCACGCCAATGATAAACTCTACCCGTGCGACGTGTGTGGAAGCACCTTCCAAGACGCGACAGAACTCAAGAACCACATGAAGAGTCACAAAAGTAAGATCTGATTGTCAATAGATATTGAAGGAATAGGACACGTTTTGGTTGTACCTAGGGTCTAGGCCTATATCTTGAGTGCAAAACCAAAATACACTGGATAAATATAGAAATAGAATGCTGACTTATGTGTCTAACCTAAATTGCCTAATATATCTGGGATGTTCGTTCTAAAACGTTATCTTTTCGTTATTGACAGAAGGCCCTCTGTCGGAAACCGCAGTTCCTCCTACCATCTCACTAAACGGATCTTTGGAGGATACAACAACGATGTTTTCAGTCACCAAGGACTGCAGGACGCAAAGACTGACCGAGGAGAACTTCTACACTGGCCTGACGATTCTGAACCAAGAATATCGACCCTGGAATTAAAACCATTCCATAGAATTAGAAGGTATTTTTCTAGAGACTGCCAAGGAAATATCAAGTAGAGCTCAAATCGCTATAACACTTTCAAAAGCAACACGCTTTATGTTTTAGAATAATCACTTTTGTGAAATATATTTAATACGTTACTGTATTGTATGACACACTGTAAATTGTTTTTGTTCAATGTATTTATTTATTTGAATCTGTTTTGATGTGAATAATACGTTTTGTTTGTGGCAAAAAAAAACGTATGTTGTTCGTGGTATTTTGTTATTATTGGTGTTGGTCAATGAAGCCTAATAATGCAAGACTTTAACGAAATGTTACATACATAGCCTACATTTATTAACGTTCGTGAGCACAATTTCTTATAGTTTACATTTAAATAAGCTTGGATTAGTATTATTATGGTTATTATTTAGGCTAAATACTGTATAAACGTTTTGAATGTATACATGCATCCCCAATCAACGTTTATCAATTTAAACTTGTTAATTTATCTGCATACCATATTTATCATACTACCTCTAGCTAAATTAATCCTATTTCACTGTTAGATCACCAACTGCTTTTTTACGTTGACTGTCTGTTTCTCGTCTCTTGTAGGCTGCAAAAGCAGTCACTGTTTGTGTATCTGTATTTAATTGTTAAAAAGCATCGGCTGTCTAATAAATATGAATTAAATAATAGCATGAAATAAACATGAAATCAAGATTGGGTTAGTTTGTTTGTAAAGACAGTGCCTTTACAGACATTAGTTAACAAACATGATTCTCATCAAACAATGACGACTGATGTTGATCTTACAATGTAATTGGCTACATACATTTTTGGTTGACACATTTAATTCATTTAAATAGCGGAAATATCGAAACACAATGACATTCAATTCTGATGAGACTACATTAATGGTTTTCGTTCCCGAAAGTAAGTCCACCAATTTCCTCATATTTGATTCATACTATAGACTCTACAGAGTTGAAAAGCTGTGTCTGCTGAATTTTAGATTCCTAGACTTCGAGTAGAGCAATAACATCTACACATTCAGGTGATGGTTTAACCCTCCCGTTGTCCTAGGGTCAAAATGACCCGCCACTGTGTTGAACCAACTTTATTTAATTTTTATATTTTTGGGATCATTTGTGAGAAGGAGGCAGTGAGACTTTAAAGAAAGCATCACTGCCTCCTTCTCACAAATGATCCCCAAAATATAAAAATTGGTTCAACACAGTGGCGGGTCATTTTGACCCTAGGACAACGGGCGGGTTAAGCATTTTACATTTACTACACATTTCGGTCAGACTTCATTTCATGCTCAGTAAAAAACAACAACTTTTAAGACTGTTCGAACCACAGAAGCAGAGTTGCGACGTTACTGTGTAACGAGCTTTAACGCGCCATTAAGGAACCTCATTTGTTACTTTAGGTGTATCACATATTAGAATGGCTCTTGTTGAATTTAACTAGACAAATACATAATTTTCTCCCTCCCTCATGGGAGAAAGGAGACTTCCTTCAGTTCCACCTGAACGGTCTCAGCGGTGTCCTACACACATCAACTGTGTGTGTGCTCCAAGCTGGCCCTTTTCGGACAGCGAGGAGGATAGTGTGTGTGTGTGCTCCAAGCTGGCCCTTTTCGGACAGCGAGGAGGATAGTGTGTGTGTGTGCTCCAAGCTTGCCCTTTTCGGACAGCGAGGAGGATAGTGTGTGTGTGCTCCAAGCTTGCCCTTTTCGGACAGCGAGGAGGATAGTGTGTGTGTGCTCCAAGCTTGCCCTTTTCGGACAGCGAGGAGGATAGTGTGTGTGTGTGCTCCAAGCTTGCCCTTTTCGGACAGCGAGGAGGATAGTGTGTGTGTGTGCTCCAAGCTGGCCCTTTTCGGACAGCGAGGAGGATAGTGTGTGTGTGTGCTCCAAGCTTGCCCTTTTCGGACAGCGAGGAGGATAGTGTGTGTGTGTGCTCCAAGCTTGCCCTTTTCGGACAGCGAGGAGGATAGTGTGTGTGTGTGCCCTCGTGCGTGTGTGTGTGTGTGCGCGCGCGCTGGTGAGTGCATGTGTCTCTGCGTGTGTGATGGGTTGGGGGGATGCTGGCAGTGGGAAAATGAACAAACCCCAGTAGCACCAAATGAAGTGGCAAGTGACAATGGAGTGGTAGCAATGAGGTGGTCTGAGGGCCAGGGGACAGTGGGCTGGGGAGGAGAGACAATGAGGTGGTCTGAGGGGGACAGTGGGCTGGGGAGGAGAGACAATGAGGTGGTCTGAGGGCCAGGGGACAGTGGGCTGGGGAGGAGAGACAATGAGGTGGTCTGAGGGCCAGGGGACAGTGGGCTGGGGAGGAGAGACAATGAGGTGGTCTGAGGGCCAGGGGACAGTGGGCTGGGGAGGAGAGACAATGAGGCTGCAGGATACAGACACAGAGACTGACCCAATGACATCTGCTCCTCTCCCCTCCCTCCCTGCTCCTCCTCTCTGACTGTCCCTTACCCTAACTCTCACTGTCACCAACTGGAGCCAATTTGACATAGCGATGGAGAGTAATATAACAAGTTAAATATACAAGTTCAGGGTGTGTTGAGGCTTGGCGCCTCACTGGCCAATCAGAACGGGCTCCTTGGCTAAATATGTGGTTGCCATAAGTTGTGTATTTTCGGTCTTTTATGTATTGCGTTGTCATCAACTCCAATTAGAATTTTAGTCCATTATAGTCTAGTTCTTAAATAGCCTGCCCCATATTTACTAAATATGCTGAACATGTTTGCAGTCCACATTGTTCTAATTGCGTTGCTTCAATATGCAAATACATTGTTAAACATCGGCTATAGCTTTTGCACGGATATAGGGGCTGGGCCTACTGTAAATTGCAGTCTGGACATGGATATGCCAAACGTAGTCAATAAGCAAGATTACATTCACTAGGCTATTGATAATGCCTAAAAAGACCGTGCATAATTCCTATCAAATTAGCAGACGAAATGTAATTGCATTCGAGCCATGTAAGTTCTCAACATAAACCCATTGAAAGTGAATCATTCTAATACGTTTGTTTTTTTAAATCAAATTAAAGGAAAAACAATCTGTTTTTATTAAAACAGCAACAATATTTCTAAATAGGACCGGTTAAGAAAGCATCCGATCATAAATCGCATCTCTCGTTCCATGAGCATAAGGCAGAACGTATGCACACGTAGGCCTAAGGGCTCTTCCGCAAGAGGCATGGATGTTTGTCCTGTCCATTGAAGATCGTTTATTAAATAGTATACAGTAACCCTACCAAAAATGTAGCCAATCTTTTTTTTTTTTTTTTATTGGCTTCAACATGGAAATATTCCTCTACACACATTGCATTCGCATTTCGAAAATCCACTGCATGTTCCAACCATGGACAATTAGACATTGTCCTAACGTTATAATAAGGTTAGCCTATTGCCGTTGATATGGCCTGTTAGTGAACGAAATGGCCTGTTAGTGACTTTTCCACGTGAAAGGTAAACAAACGAACAGGCAAATAGCCTTGGCAACAAGCAGATTCAGAACCAAGGACAGCGATAGGAATTTTTGCGATTTGACAATTAGATCCAACACATGACCATGGATGATGCACCTTTTTTTTTTTTTTTTTTACAAAATGATGAAGGGAAAACAATGATCAGTCTATTGTAATAACTTGATATTCCTAAACAGACTTCATACAGTCACTGACACCTTTTCATTCAATGGGCATCGCACATACGCCCGATGAGTCCAAACGTTTCCCTGAAGCTACATGGACAAAAAAATAAGGTCAAATATAAAGAAAAAAGGTGAATGTCTGTTGACTGTTTTCCTGCTTGTGATATTTTAATTAAACATTATGTATAGGCTACTGACTATGCTACTGTGAGCCTCCGCTGGCAAGATCAACGCTACAACCAATTGCGTTACCGCTAAGACCAGCTTTTGAGTCTTAACTTTCACCAGTAGCGCTGCTTGAAAATGGCACATTGGGGCACGTCGTTAAGGACACCCCTGAAATATTTTCCACCCTCCCACCTCAGCGCAAGCTAGCTGATATAAGACAGGTAATTTACCAACCCTGGCGCCATGGTTGGAAAATGGTAGAGCGCTGTCTTTTACAAGTCGAAATTGCCAAAGAGCTGCGTTTGACTCTAGTGCTGCCTTAACGCCAGCCGAAAAATAGAGCCCTATATGATCCAACTATCTGGGATCTCATGAGAGAAACCCCCAGAGATATGTTACAAGCTGATCTAACCTAAAACATGGACTGAGAGAGACACGGAGAGAGAGATGGAGAGAGACGGTATTCATTATTCGTGGTGTTGTTTGGCAGCATGAGGTGTGACAGATGACACAGGGTAGTGTCTCTGTACTCTGCTATGTCACCTTTAACCCCACTGTCATCAGACCTTACTAAGACAGACAACCAGGAGCAGCATTACACCACTCATTCACCAGTGGTTTATTACGAAGAGACAAACAAGTCAATGAGATAAATATATTTGATGGCTACTAACAGTATGAATGCTTTATTTCTGTACGTTTGATTTACTATTATATCTTGTTGTGGTCAGAAAATTGTTCCAAAATTTCATTGTGCATCAGATTGATTTTGCTTAAGATTTTGGTGGTGCGCCTAATTCAAGCTCTCTAACCTGACCTTCTGGGTGACGTCACACTGTAGTGAGTCTTTCAGCTGATTGGATGCGGAGCTGTCTGACTCATTTAGAATATAGTGCTCTCGTGCACTCCGCTCTGGTTCGTGTGTGTGAAAGAGAGAGAGAGAGAGACGGGGAAGAGAGAGAGAGAGAGAGACAGGGAGAAGAGAGAGAGAGACAGGGAGAAGAGAGAGAGAGACAGGGAAAAAAGAGAGAGAGAGACAGGGGGAAAGAGAGAGAGACAGGGGGAAAGAGATAGAGAGAGAGAGATGGGGAAAAGAGAGAGAGACAGGGAGAAAAGAGAGAGAGAGAGACAGGGGGAAAGAGAGAGAGAGAGACAGGGGGAAAGAGAG